ATACTATGCGTAGTAATATGAAGATGTCATTGTGTGTGAAATCAGCTGAATGGTTGCACGAGAATCGTCGTATTCATAGTGTATTCATGGTATAATGGCTGTTGTTTTCAGTTGGTAGATTCATGTACAGAACAAACAGCAATATTGTAAATATAGCCGAATAAAGTTTGTCAATCGTGGTGTTGAAGCACATGCGAAAGGTACAAGAGAATATATATCCATTTATGTTTATTCATGGTTACTCAGGATTATGTGTGGCAGAAGTGTATATGTGTTGAAATGAGTACGAAAGAGAGAGAGAGAGAGAGCTAGTGATTGTTACTTTCGATTGTGAATATATCTGTTGATTTGATCACTTGTGCATTCAATGTTATTCATCCGGGGTTTCATATAAAGCTATTTCCGTGGGTAGTATGTAAGCTGTGTGCTGATTGGTTGTGAATGTAGTGAGTATTCATAGGGTGAACAGTCGTGCATTGTGTGTATTACATGTAGCTGTAATTGCAGGCGTGCCATGTATATATCAAACACCTAGCACCGATCGTGCCGTTGCTTTCTAATTCCAATAGACTCCAGCAGGTAACGCCACGTAGTCATTTAGGGGTGGGTGGGCCGTGTGTGGTGGTGGTGGGGGTGATGTGTGTTTGTGTGTGTGTGTGTGGGGGGGGGGGGGAATTATGTGTATGTGAGGTATATTTGTTCAATGAATGTGAGTTTGAGAGTTTTGAGAGTTGTTGTATATTTACGTTGAGACTAATTGTATGTTGATCTCATTAATGTGTGTACCTGAACAAATTCTTTCGTATCTTAAATCTACTGCTGGTTGTTAATTCTAACAGCTTTCAACTCGAATCCTCTGGAACTGAGGAACATGTAGCGATGGCTCCTATTACAAATGTAATATTGTCGATGATTTTTGTTCTGGATAACCACAAAAACCTCATGAAATCACACATGTTAATTTGTGTAACGCAGTCGGTACATCCTTTTGTACACCCGTTTTATGAATGAGTTGTGATGATTTTAACACACGTACTACATGTGCTCATGTTACGTTACACTGTGTTTTGCAAAATACATTGGCAAGCAGGAACTTACCAGGCGTCGCTACTAGGTAATTTGGAGAATATTACAATGTAATAGCGCATGTTTGGGAGGTCAGATTTTTTTTTCGCACTATCCCGATAAGGTGGTGCAACGTCACCTCCACTGAAATTACACTAACACTACGAATTCGCGTCCAAAGACGTCCTAAGTGCCATTTTATGGTCTCGTTGGTTTCCTTCATCGATCAATCTATCCATGTCCAAGGCGTCGCGCCGTTACAGGGAATATTGGTGTTGTGTACGCGTTACAGAACCTCTTCTTCTGACCCATCCCCGTTCACTGCCTATTGTGTCATTTGACCGCATTGCAAAATACGCAGATCATTAGTATTTTCGTCGGCTTTGTGTAATTCCGTAATGACATGGCTGATAACGGGGGAGGTAGGATTACTTTTACAAAAGGTTCTGTGTGCTAATCAAGACCCCTAAGATTGAGTCCCACATCCTATCAATGTCACAATTAGCTTCGTCTTTGAATACCTCGACGTCTTAAGCATACCATCAATCATTTCAAAATGAAGTTTGTTTCCTGGACGTTATCACGTAGAATAGTTAAAACATTTCAAAAATAAGAATGTTCTTAATGTTTTGCCAATACACATATATCCTGAACTCTAAAGTACTCGACATACAGTCACTCTGGGTAATTCGCATCTTTATTTAGATCCAAGTGTTTTCAGATACTTGCATAATTAATGAACAATATCCCACTATGTTTATGCCGAGGATACTAGATGTTTATGTCTAGGATACTAGAGATACTGGCAACTACAACACAACAGCTCCCCTCCTCCTCCCTTTCTAAGTTAAGGAAAATGTCAAAAAAAACCAACAAAAACGTTGACTTGGCTTCGGTAACGCAATGTTTCTCGTTGTATTACATAGATACATTTGGTATACAGGCGAAACATGATAATGTTAAGTTGGACATTGTATTGCTATTTAGTTAACCTACAGCATAAAAATCGCACATTTATCAGTCATACGTTTTAAAAAAAACTCCAGTATAAACAATAAAAAAGCAGGGAATAACATTGATATCAATGTTTTCACGAAGATGTAAAATTCGTAATTATCATTGTTTGAAATCTGAATGTATTGATACAAATATACGTATTTCACTCAACAATACTGCAACATCTTTCGTTCATCAAAATGGTTACACAGGACAGTGTCTTTGAATCATATTTGGAGGGAAATAATAGATATATATATGTACTTTATGTTGCTTGGTTGCTGTGATATGAAGCTATAAAGTTATCTAAATAGTTTGATTATTTGGTTTTTCTCACAAATCAGTCTTGTTTTTTTGTTGGTACTTTTCCAATTTCTTGATATAAGGTCCTGTCATTATTTGAACTTGAAATGTGTTATGGTGTCGAAGAAGCAGAGCACCTGTTTTTATTCTCCTTGTAGTTTTTCAATGGTCTTTCTGTTCGATGATGTATTTTCATTCCATTCAATTCAATTCTGGAAGTCATTCTTCAAATTCATTCTCGTAAGTCTCTAATGGTTCGTACCTAGAACCTAAATTGAAATAAATGTTTATTCTTGTATGCTTAGATTGACCAGAACAGCCTCAGATAATGATTTCTTATTAGTTAGACCTGCAGTTATCACATTGTCTTTAAACTTCAGAACTTCACTAAAGGAATTTGTACTTGGCTCAAAAATGTATTTTATATTTAAGTGGCAGCCATCATGAAATCATGAAATTCACTGAAATCTTAATCTAGTGACCATATCATAACAGAGTATATAATCGCAAATCAGCACAGTCCAATCAATATCGTTTCCTTTTTATCCTGAGCCAAACACAAGAGCAGCCATAGTCCCGCAGATGGACCTTTTTATTTGGTAATGATGTACTGCACCTGCAAAATAATACAGTCTCTCCGTTACAATGTTGACAGGTTTAAATATTTATCGTTGATTATTTCCTCATCGCTTCAATTTCTAATTCAAGAGGTACGTTTGTAATACTGATTGAATGTATATCAGACGCGTGCAACCTGTTTGAAATTCTTCGAACAGCGATAGATTTTGTGGACTGCTCTGTCGTTTGTTAAGATGGTTTTTTAGGGGTTTTTTGGTATTGTTGATTAATTAAGGAGCGACGAAGGCGCCTAATGTAAGAGATCCAGATTGCAAAAAGTATGCCGTGCCACTGTCTTCTTTACAGAAACACTGCCGTGTTACTGTCTACTTTACAGAACGACTGCTGTGTCACTTTACTATGACAGACATGCTGCCGTGTCGCTGACTTCTTTGCAGAAAGTCTGCCGTGTTACTGTCGATTTCACAGAAACCCTGTCGTGTCTTTTTTTTACCGGTTTTATGCAACTAGTTTCCAGTGGCTCGAACACCTTTAGTTAAGTCGTAAGTCGTTTTGTTGGAGTTAGATAGTTATCGTTTAACTTTAACAATGTGGTCTGCTCTGTATGAAGGTTTACATGTATGATGCATCAACTAATGAACTAAAAAAATAAATAATGAAACTTTTGGAATTGGTATATACAATCGATTGATAGGAAATACGAAATTTACTATCATACAGTGCATTCAAAACTGTCATTATTTTCGTTCAGATGCGGGTAAAATTTAGATAGAATAAGTATTTATTTTCGTGTATGTTAGGTACACTGTAAAACAATGACTTTTTAACATTATTTCACAGTTGATAGCAATATTGTCAGCATTTTTCACCTAATATAAGCAGAACATGGTGCAATTGGGTTTAGTAGCCCTGAACAATTACGCGCGGTATAATTGTGAATTGATGTGAAGTTTTGTGAAATAAATAAAAAATATATGATATTCAACAACAAAAAATCACAATATGTTTTACACGTCTAGAACTCCTGAACCACAATGTTCAAAAAATCGTTTATTTCCGAACACTATTAAGAACGAAAAGACATCTGCTACGATACATGTAGTATATACCGTATATCATTTTAATTACACGCTATGCAAATTTTGGAATTGCTCTCGGCGGCAAAAACTTTCGAGTTGGTTTGTAGGCAAACGTTCTGTGATTATCGAACGCAAAGTAGTATTCATGGTTCACACATTATTTGTTTTCTCCCTGTAAGTAATATCGATCTCAGGCACGAGTAATCAAATTATGGAAACGGGTTGTGACATGCCTCGAAACGTGTGGAAATCCTTTTTTGACGATTTGACATCTCGGAATCACGCCCAAATGTGCTCGCAACTATTCGGTAGTACTTGCGAAAGGTTGCGTGAACGGTGTGGTTTATTGGCGAAATGTTTTCGCTACCGAAATCACCACTGTGTCATCTGCCTTCAGTTGAAGGTGTTAAAACAATATATACATAAGTCACGTTTTCACAGAATTCTAAAACTCATTTTAGCCGCCCAAAACATATTTAGCTAGACTGATGATCAATATCCTGCCAAACTCACGGCAGTTCAAATTAATTTCTCAGAAGCACCGAGAAACTAATGATGCTGTTTGTTTTGTTCAACCATTACAGTGCTTATCAGCATTCAAATGAAACCCTTTGTATCCTTTAGAATATATTAGGTTGATTCAAGAAGAAAATGGCGACATCGAGCGGTAAAATATAAGAAGTCTGAAAGGGTTTTATAGACGACAACTTTACGATAATGCAATACTGACCTTCTCCAATTCAGTATATATACAGTATGGGACAGTCATGGTTCCCATCAATTTGTGTCTCATGTTACACACAAGTCACTTAGCTGCCATTCATTTCCTCATAGAACCTGACAAACGTGTTAAACGACATCTATTAACTATCTTTCAATTTCTTGGAGATTTTTGACGTCATTACTTAATCTTCCTCAGGTTATTATCCTCGACTGATCGATAAGTTCCTGCTGCCGTATATATGTACCAATCAGGATCGGTGCGGAATCACAGAGCTCACAAGCAGATTGGAGCACGGGCTTACATTGCAGAAGCAGGTACGTTACTATTACATTTCATCGTTAGCGCCTAACACAATTTGTATCGATAACATATTTTTTTAGTATGAATTATGTGCTTTAGAAATTAGACTTTAAACGAATCAATACCGTAAACCTCTTTTTTCTATCTTACATATTTTCTGTGATATTTTGCAACATGAATAGTACTAACCAAAGTTTGCTTGGAAAGGAAAATTATGTTTATACATGCCAAGCACTACTTTAAGCTTATGTTTCAACCATTGCGGTTTTATACTAAGGTCTGTGTTCCTTTCAATATATAGCTCAATTTTATTGGTTGTTACAAAGTTGCATTCATCATACACTAGGTTTTTATAAATAAATTACATGTACACCTTTTTACAACATATCTAACATAAATAAAATAAACTTCACTTTTAGATAAGTGTGACCACTTAATTAGTCTCTATGGGATATTAAAGCAATTGCATCATATATTGATAGAAAAATTTGAGTCTGAGTTTTGCATTTATCAAGCAGTTCACTGGCATGGACTCAGATTCTGCACTTCAAGATCAATTTTTCAATTTGATGGGAAAGTCAAATTTTACAGCACTTTATGTTGTAAAGAGACTTTTTGAATGCCGCCAGAAGAAGAAATGTAGTTACTTTGAGCATGATTGCGTCGTTATGCATACAGTAACATATCGTATATAAATCAACTTTGTTATGTGCATTGTACTTGTATCAACTGTTCACAGATAATGCATCACTGACGAGAAAATTACTACGGAATCGGGATATCGAATAGAAACCAAAAATATCTTTTGAGATATATAATGATATTTTGGTATTTGTAAATAATGATAAAGGGGCGAGAGTCTTAAATGTCTATCCCAATGCTTTCCAGAGGGTTTGAGATTTAAGAATCTTTTCTATTCACAGAATGGGGAATGCTTAATGATTCTCCCAGTTACATGTACAATGCAACTGATTATTTTATGTACCAGAAACGTTGATTGCAATATTTCCAGCATTTGCTAGTTTTATTCCGTGATCTGCCATTTTTTACTTGACGTCAATCGTTGTTGACTTGACGTCATACCATTGTCTTTTTCCTAGATTAAGACAGACATATATTTCCGGAAGTGTGAATATCCCTGTCTGATGGGAGAGAGGCACGCTTCCTCAACTTGTAACTTAGTTCAGAACGTGGTTTTGCCCAGGTTGTGATACAAAAAACTTGCATTGGAGTAATAAAAGTAAATTAAAAATGGGTCCCTTAGGTCTTTCAAAACATTCGATAATGTAGAATTACGTTCCAAAAATTACTATTTAACATTACACCAAAATGACTATATATTTTTTTAAATTAGATTAAATAAGGGAACAGTATTTAAGTACAAGAACAATAAAAGTACGGGAACAGGGCCCGCGTTCATGAAACCATTCTCATGCTCAAGCATGGTCTTTGAGCTTAAAACCTATTTCTTATTCCGTTGATTAAGAATGAAATGTTATGTTTTCAATGATCTGGAAAAAAAATGAAAAGACTTAAAAAGCCAAATACAGTTATTAATGTTTACATTTTCGCATAAGCGGTTTGCATAAAGTAGCAGTCTGAGTACGGGAACAGTTTTAATAAAGGATTCTGAGAATAGGATTTTTGAAATAAGGGAACAGATTCAGTGCTAACACGCTTAAATATATATCAGTTCGAGTACCGAAAGTCAAAACTGGTTAAAGAACGTAAATTGTAAAATATGGTAACCGTTTGAGTGAGGTCGTTTTTTGTTTGGCACGACATCAATTTGAATAAGGGAACAGTGTGCATACTATATCAGTTTGAATGCAACATCACTTTTGTGTCAAGAAGCAATTTTAGTAAGGGATCATTTGATACGGGAACAGATAATAAGGAAAATAAGACACTGATATTGTCGTATGGTGCAGTTAATTCTTACTCTGTTTGACTTTCGACTTTCGAATTTCTATATACTTTTCCGTGCAACGTATTGATACATTTGTCTCTTGTATCCTCTAATCAAGGATACGACATGCGCCTCTATATAAATCACCTGTTAGAACTTTACGTACGTAATGACCCAACAGGATTACAAAGCTTTTAAGACATGAACCTAGGACACACACATGAGATTTCTAAACTTTATGTGAAGTGTGATTATTACAATTTTCTAATAATGAACTTTCCTTTTTCTTTTTCTTTAGTTTCAAAACAGAATTCAACGGGCTTGTTAAGAATGTTACTTTTTTCTTTATATACATGTCTAAAACAAACAAAACAAAATACAACATAGGGTATCGAGAGATGAAAGTTGATGGAGAGCATCGGAAAGCTTTATGGTCACCACCATGCTCTCATTCGGAAGTCCTCTATTACCTTTTATCACATAATCGGCCTGTTATCCAGTGAATTCGCCCGTGTAATATTTTTACATATGTCTCCAGTGTAATATAATCTGGAGCGTTTTTCATTGGCTTTGCCAGTCAGAAATCGATTGTAACGTCATGATATGGACAATGACGTGACGTCATAAATTGTGAATGACGCAAAAAAGACTGTCTCCGTTTGTAAAACCTGTCAAAATGTAACTTTTATGAGTTATGTGATAAACATTATCTCACATTTGTTTTTGTTTCATATGAGCTGATATGAAACTCGTCTCGAAGTTTTAATTTTCGCTCGCCAAGGCTCGCAAAAATATAAACTCCTAAGACTCGTTTCATAAAAGCTCATATGAAATGAAAACTCATTTAAGACCCTATATGTACGATATGGATATCAATGCTTCTGATGATATTATATTTAAGGTTCCATTGTCGCTACCTATTACCTCACTTTGATTATGTAGCATTACTTGGATTTGACCTAGATTAACATGGCGGGTGTTGGCGTGGAAGGAAAAAACCTACCCGTACAATTCCTAAACACGTCACCTTATTAATATTGTACTTTTTCAATGGTTCTCTGTGGGTATATCTATTCTATGTTTAGTTTTATTAATTTTGTCAATTTTCAGTTCGAATTACTGTTTTATTAACATTTTGATATCATCTTCTTTTCTCTGTTCAACGCTAATTTCAATACTACTTCACCTCAATGAATAGGTCGAGGTGAATTAAGAATACCATCTTTCATGAAAACGTAGTTATTTGAATTGGAAGATACTTTAAAATCAGTCTGATTCATCCTTTACATCACAACGACTGTCCAGAACAAGAGTTGTTCCATTCAGTTAGGTCACTAGATGTTTATTGTTGTGGTATTTTTTAACATTTGTAAATAAAGGCATATATTTCATTTTAATTTTAAGTACATTGTACAATTTATTATGCTTTACTTACGCTTTATAAATCATTTTGGAAGGCTTGTAAAGATATGCAACACATTTCGTGTAAAAAGGTTATAATATCAATGCAATGTATATATAAATATGCAAAACACGGCGTTTAGCTCTTAAGAACGTCAAAAATAAATTCAATGAGATGGACTGTAGTTGTAACGTTATGCGTTTAAATCACAATAGCATGCTATTTTTGAACGAAGTGCCGATGAATGTCATCCTCATTGACCCTTAATAAAAAAAATTGCTCATTTGGATATTAATTTTCATTTTTTTCCCGTTGCAAAATTACTTAATTGGATATTCCCCCTTTTTTGGCAACCGCTTAGTCGTTTTTACTAGTCCCTTGAGGGTGTTAGACAAACTTACTGTTCTCAAGTATGTCGTTTTGCCAGGAAGTTTCAGGATTGCATAATCTTATTCTTCTCTAACGTTTTATAATAGTCTTTTTAATGTGCACTTCGACGTTAAAGAAGCTATTCTAGAAACCATTCCACTTTTAACGGAATATTCAAGCGTGGATATAATGTATATATGACTGAAGTATCCTGAAATGAATTATACTTGAACTACACATTTCCATTTCCCAAGGATGAAGAAATCGATATGAAAAATACTTCCTGGAAAAAATATCAATTACACATGGCATGGGATATTGTACTGGTATCGTAAATTTATCACTCTGGAAGTAAGAAACCAGTTATATTAAATTTAATCTGATAACAAACTGCAGGGATATCTGTATAATTGTATTATATATACCTTTACCTGACGTAAACACTTAGATGACTCATTGTATCAAGTTTAAAAGTTAGCTATCCTAACCAATCCATGCATAAATACATGTAGCAGTGTCTGGCGAATTAAATATTGCTAATGAAAGTTAAAAATAAGGCTTTATTGATGTATCAGAATATGCAATACAATACGGAGCTATACATTATTTGTGTGTTTCATGTCTTCAGAGAGACGATTAGCTAAATAAACATACGATATATGTGGGTGTTTTTATCTGGTAAGACTTATCTGTGTATTATGTACATTAGCTTAACTTAATTCCTCATATTATCTTATTTAAGTCATGTCATGGAGGGCTGGATCCCCTGATCTTACATCTCCAAACTGTTTTGGATTATTGAGGCGATGCCAAGAAAAGATAAGTCGATGACATCAACCACACATTGTGTTTTGTAATTGGGGCGATGTACGGGTTGACTAACCACAGAGAGCGTTTAATAATTTGGCAGATGAAAAGTGTTTGCTTGGTCGTGAGATAAACACACACAGAGAGTGTGTTTTGTTATTCGGGTGATGTAGGGGTTGATTTGGTCTTAAGAGTACCACGCACAGAGCGTGTTTTATTATTAGGGTGATAAAAGGATTGGCTTGGTCTCGAGATTAACTACCATAGAAAGTGTGCTATATCATACAGCTGATGTAAGGAATGACTTGGTCCTGAGATTATCACCCTAATAGTGTGTTTTATTATTAGGTTCGTGTTAGGTATGACTTTGTTCTGAGATTATCAACCACATAGTGTGTTTTATTATCAGGTTGATGGTAGGTATGACTTGCTCCTGAGAGTATCACCCACAAAGTGTTTTATTATCAGGTTGATGGTAGGGATGACTTGGTCCTGAGATTATCACCCACATAGTGTGTTTTATTATT